GCCTGTTCAATAGCTAATTTAGTTTCAGGAGATGCTGTAATCCAACAGGGATCTAAATCTTTATTTACTGATAATAATAAATTATTCATCATGCCTGATATTCATTTTATATAACCCCTCCTAACATTAAGCACCACAAGCTATTGCAGGCCAAGGCTATCAACAACACTCTCTCTCGGCAATTTTACCACCTAGCACTGTCTTTCCTTTTCCTCTCCCGGTTTGTGATTCCTTTTTTCTCCTAAATTTAAGAAATATCTATTTTATTTCTTTTCAAAGATTGAATTGTATAACGCTTTTTAAAATATTGGAGTTTCAAAGCACTACTATAATGTTGATCCGTTATATTGGTGCCTTGAATCGAGTAACCTTGCTGCAACCTTAAATGTGTGTTAAACTGAACAAGGTTATGGTTCTAATTGAATTATTTGATAGCATGATAAAGTACAAGAAAAATTGATTTAAACGATATTATACGGTTCCAATTAACACCGTATTATGTTTGCAGTAAATTTGAACGATATAATGGTTTTTTTACGTGAAATCAGAAATTATGCTTTTCTAAAAAAATCTTCCTTTTTTTATTAATTAAATTACTGATTAGGAAATTAAGATTAAGTTACTAATAAGAAATTAAAGAAAAAATAAATTATTTTTTTGAATAAAATATTTCCTATTTTTCTTTCACTTTAAAATTCCACTAAAATTGGGAATTTCATGCATGATAACAATCTCAAATACACAGTTTTATAAACCGAAAATTAAACGAAACTTTTAATACTTCTCAATAACACATTTTATTTCAAATTACTCATGCTTATTAAAAAAACATTAACGTTTGAATTTTTTATATGAAGTGGCGCTAAAAAGCAACTGTTAAAAAAGTGGTTATTTTTTTTAACCAACTGAATATTTTCTTCTGTTAGCTACTACTTAATTTTTGAAAAGAATTAAGAACATTCTTTTGATGTGAAAACTGTCTTTTTTCAGATAAACAGAATTCTCGCAGAAATCTCGTTATTCGCGTATGTCATGCTAGGTCAACATGGGTTAAAGTGCAATACTTTCCCACTGTAGAATCTTCATCTGTGCTTTCTTAACGTTTACTCTACTATTGGTACTCGTGGCATTTCAATTTGAAAAACACTTTACCTTAATTTTGTTTTGTTTTGTTTTTGTTTTTGTAATTTTTTGTTTTTTGTTTTTTTGTGATAGGTATACACGTTTATACAGTGAATTCTAGACACAGCATTAAGCAGAATTTCATTTAAACCAAAGGATTTGCAAAACTTTTTAATTAGCTATTATTGATGTATTAATTATTTAATTTATTTATTTATTAGTATTTTCCATACTATTTAATTACTTTATTTATTTTTGTTTATTTATTTGCAATACGACGAAATTTATAATCATCAAGCGAAGTATCTTTTAACAGTCAAAGCGTAATGAGAGTGATTACGATTGTAAAAATGCTATTTCAAGCTTCGAAAAATATGAGGACACTGTAACTTATTACCAATATATAGTAAAAAGAAATTAAAATGTTTTCTTCTTTTAAAAAAATAAAATGAAGCACTACTTATAATAATGAACTTGGAATGTATAGCAGAAAAATATACTCGTAATAAAGAAAAATGAAACAAGCATTCATCAAAGATTTCGCCTTCAAGATAAAAATATCCCTTGCAAAATAAAGGAAAACATGGCAAGAAATGCATTTTACTTTACATAAATTGTAATTAAATACTTAACATAGTACTGAGATATAATTTTTTTTTTGTCGAGTCTTATAACATTATTTTACTATTTTAATGCAGCAAAATCTTAATCTTTCTGTTTAACGAAGGACAGAAAACCGGACTAAAACGGAGTTTTTGTTTGGCACTAGTTGATTGCGTTTTGCGAAATTTTATTAAATGTTTACAGTCATAGACTGTCAACATTTAATAAAATTTCGATTCATAGTTTGCAAGATTAAATTTAAAAGAAAAAACACATACTACCCATGTTATAATTATTTTTTTATTGAGTTATAATTATTTCTTTTTTATCGAGTCTTATAACATTATTTTACTATTTTAATGCAACAAAATCTAATCTTTCTGTTTAACGAAAGACAGAAAACCAGACTAAAACGGAGTTTTTGTTTGGCACTAGTTGGTTGCGTTTTGCGAAATTTTACTAAATGTTTACGGTCTAAAAATTTACGAATCATACTTTGCGAGATCAAATTTAGAAGAAAAAACACATACTATCCATGTTATTATTATTTTTTGATTGATATTTAATTATTTCTTTTTTATCGAGTCTTATAACATTATTTTACTATTTTAATGCAGCAAAATCTTAATCTTTCTGTTTAACGAAGGACAGAAAACCGGACTAAAACGGAGTTTTTGTTTGGCACTAGTTGATTGCGTTTTGCGAAATTTTATTAAATGTTTACAGTCANTTTCTCTCTTCTTCACTATATTCCTCCATTTCATCTAAGAATATCAATCGTCCTTACCTCAAACTGTTTCTTTTTGAGAGGGCCGCGTTGAGACAACACCACCTATCTCGGTGGTGTTGCTCCGCAGCGTTGCTAATCATAGTGAAATTTTCAATCTGTAAATAGAGGACTAAGAACCGAAAGGTTTGGGATTCAGACACGACGTATGCTTTGGCTCGTTTACGAAAAAAAGGTTTCAGACTTGGACTCGTAATAAAATTTTCATTAAAATTTTTACGGCTTTTAAACAAATACTTAATTGAGTTCCATTTTTTACTTATCGCTTTTCGTTTTACAGGCTAGTAACAAAAAGGTTTTAGTGAGTAATTTCCTTGTTTAGGTTTTTAAGACCAGAGGCTAGACTGCAGAAATTTAGCCTTTATCTGACATGTAACTCGGTCTTGGATGAAATCGAACCTGAACTCATCTCTACAATATTTCCTCCATTCCCTTCACTACAAGAAGTGTTTCCAGTATCCTGCACTCCCAAATTTGTGGACTGCAGTGTCCGATGTCCATTACCTAATGAAAATCCTAGCTCCTATTTCTAGTTAAATTTCCTTTTTACGGTTTTTAAACCATTCTAGTAATAAATGGTTAAAAAACCTTATAGTTTTGTATTCATGGTTTTTTTCACCATACTAGTTGTAAACGGTTTCAAAACCGTAAAGATAAAAAAAAATTACCGCACACTTTACGGTTAATTGGATAGACAGACTGCTGCTGGCTACTTTTGCTGCTGGTTTACCCATAATTTTAGAATAAAAATTCTAACGGCGAACTGTGTTACAATTGAAAACGTCAATGAGAACTAAATATGACTAAAATGAAATCAGAAATTATGCTTTTCTAAAAAATCTTCCACTTTTATTAATTAAAATAATAATTGGGAAATTAATATTTAGTTGCTAATAAGGAAATAAAGAAGAAATAAATTATTTTTCTGAATAAAATATTTCCTATTTTTCTTTCACTTTAAAATTCCAATAAAATTGGGAATTTCATGCCTGATAACAATCTCAAATACGCAGTTTTATAGACCGAAAATTAAACGGCACTTTTAATAATTCTCAGCAACACATTTTATTTCGAAATTTCTCATGCTTATTAAAAAAAACATTAACGTCTGAATTTTTTATATGCCGTGACGCTGAAAAGCTACTGTTATTTTTTTTAACCAACTGAATATTTTCTTCTGTTAGCTACTACTTGATTTTTGAAAAGAATTAAGAACATTTTTTTTATGTGAAAACTGTCCTGTTTCAAATAAGCAGAATTCTCGCAGAAATCTTGTAATTCACGTGACATTTTTGTCATGCTAGGTCAACATGGGTTAAAGTGCAATACTTTCCCACTATAGAATCTTCATCTGTGTTTTCCTAACGTTTACTCTACTATTGGTTCTCGGGGCACTTCAATTTGAAAAACACTTTACCTTAATTTTGTTTTTTTAATCATTAATATGATAGGTATACAAATTATACAGTAAATTCTAGACACAGCATAAAGCAGGTTTTCATTTAGAACAAAACATTTGCAAAACTTTTTAATTAACTATTATTGATGCATTAATTATTTAATTTATTTATTTATTGGTATTTTCCATACTATTTAATTACTTTATTAATTTTTGTTTATTTATTTGCAACGCGACGAAATTTATAATCATCAAGTGAAGTACCTTTTAACACTCAGAACGTAATTATGATTGATTATGATTGATCAGTGATTATGATTGTAAAAATGCTATTTCAAGCTTCGAAAAATATGAGGACACTGTAACTTATTACCAATATATAGTAAAAATAAATTAAAATGTTTTCTTTCCTTAAAAAAGTAAAATGAAGCACTATTTAATAATGAACTTGGAATGTATAACAGGAAAATATAATAAAGAAAACTGAAGCAAACATTCATTAAAGATTTCGTCTTCAAAATAAAAATATCCCTTGCAAAATAAAGGAAAACATCGCAAGAAATGCATTTTACTTTAAATAAATTGTAATTAAATACTTAACATAGTACTGAGATATAATTATTGTTTTTGTCGAATCGTTTAACATTATTTCACTATTTTAATGCAGCAAAATCTTAATCTTTCGGTTTAATAAAAGACAGAAAAATGTATTCAATCGGAGTTTTTGTTTGACACTAGTTGATTGCGTATTGCGAAATTTTACTAAATGTTTACGTTCTAAAAATTTACGAATCATACTTTGCGAGATCAAATTTAAAAGAAAAAACACATATTATCCATGTTACAATTATTCTTTGATTGAGATTTAATTATTTCTTTTTTATCGAGTCTTATAACATTATTTTACTATTTTAATGCAACAAAATCTAATCTTTCTGTTTAACGAAAGACAGAAAACCAGACTAAAATGGAGTTTTTGTTTGGCACTAGTTGATTGCGTTTTGCGAAATTTTATTAAATGTTTACAGTCTAAAATTTACGAATCATAGTTTGCAAGATTAAATTTAAAGAAAAAAAAGAAACACATACCATCCATGTTATTCCAATGATCTTCATCCTTTTCTTCGAACATACTTTCTTCACCGAAATCTTCCTCAATCACCACCGTAGTCTTCTTGAAAAGCCGCATCTTGTGAGACACAATAGCACAGTACAGAAAAAAATTGCAAACTAAGAGAGATTAAATTTCAGACAAAACTCATAACGTTGCTTCATGAACGACGTCCTGCAGAAAAGAAGGAAAATAACTCTAATTACACTCTCATAAAATTCGCGAAATTCAAAATCCATTCGTTTCTCGAATCCTTTCCTTGAAGAAATTATAAGGTTTTATCATCGTGCAATCGTTTGTAATGGGTGCGATAAGCTATTTGATATGCTGTCCAGAGACCGTCCAAGGCCGGCGCTGGACATCGGGCAGTCTTTGGGTCATCAGAATGGGGTGGGAGTCCGGGAACGTGTCACGCTAGTTGACTGGATTGGCTCACGACTTCTCCTGGACTAATTTCTAGGACATGCTTGCTTGATACTTGTCGTTCTGGAAAGATTAAAATGTTCGAAAACATTTACATTGTTTGTTGAAGGTAATAAAGTTAATAGAACGTACGGCTGGTCCCAAAAAAATTCTTTTTTTTTTTTTCATTCTGATGAGGGTTGTGTTGAGGAAAAAGTTTTAAAAATATGTGGTTTTTTTATTCTGTTTACACATTTTCATTGATTTTTTTTTAAGATGTTCGTATGTTGCAATAGTTATTACAGTGTATATAATAAAACAATAAAAGAAGTGAAACAGCATATTTCGGTTTATCACTGAGAAAAAAATATGGTCAAAAATACTGGAATATGGTAAAATTTACCATGTTTCTGGCTCTAGGGAAACACCAAAGAGCTCAACAATTTTCACCGAAGCGCTTTGATAATAATTTTTGTAAAATTAACAGTAAACTGTAATTTTATAATATGCTGTAAAATTGTGAGACGTAATAAATTTCAGTAATTTTATCATGATAGCCAAGAGCATGGCATAAAATCCTTTATTGGATTAAATTTACTTTTCAGTTTCGTATTAATACTAAATGTGAGGTAATAAAACTATAATTTTGAAAACCAGAATTTCCGGTAAACCGTTAAAATATGAACGGAAAAATTATCAATTTAAATACCGAATATTTTGGTTCCATTAGTTAGAAATATGTTGTTGTTTTTTACCAGGAATTTTATTACCCATAAGAATAGTGTAATTTTACCGGAATTATTTTACCACCACCTCGTATAGTTACCACTATTTTTGGTGTTGGAGGTAAACTAAATTGTTTTACAGTGCAAGTAGTCAAACTTTTTTTAATTTACTTTTACACTGTTATAGTTTTATTTATTTACTTATTCATTATTTGCTTTTTGTTCACTAACAACATATATTTTCATACGGATTAGAAAAAATTTGTGGTTTTATACGAAACATTTCGCTTTAAAAACAAGCAAATTTTTAATAATAAATTCGCACTATTTCCTTTTAGCAAATTGTTATTTTGTCAATTTTATGCAATTGTTTAAAATTTCATGTAATTTTTTAACTCTGCACTCAAAAATGTATTTACTTTGACTCAGCATCAGAAATGATGACAACTATACACCAACACTTTTAAAAAAAGATTGAATGATTAATTTATCTCTTTTTGAATATTTTCAGGTACACTATACATTTTCGGGTACAATACGCATAGCTGTCGCATCCATTTTTAAAAAAGTTTTAGGTAACGATACCAAACAAGACATTTCAGGAAATCTGAGAACTGCAACTCCAAAAATTATTCATGAATTTTATGATTGCTTAAAAATGTTTGAAAGAAAACATAGAACTGGTAATAGAAGAATGAAACAATGATTCTGCTATCAATGAAATAAAACGTCGCAACTAAGTATTTAAAGTTCAGCTTTTTCAATTTATAATAAATTAGTTTTCAAACTAAAATATCCAATAACTTCTATGAATGCCTCCCGGAAAAAGGCTGAATTTTCAATTTTGATTTTGTCTTCCTTCAATTTAAACAGATTGACAAAAAAATAACTTAAAGTCCGGTATTTTATCAACGTTTTAGACACTTTTACATACTTAAATGATATTTTCAATTATTCAATTATTACATATTCTTATTAAATCTCTTTATTGGGGGAGAATCTTGTAATCAAAATTTAATTTAATTTTTTCATACCTCTATTGGATTTCTGTGCCTGTTGATATCACAAACAATTACTTCAGCTTTTACTATTTATAACAAGTTAGTTTTCAAACTAAAATATTCAATAACTTCTATGAATGCCTCCCGGAAAAAGGCTACGTTTTTAATTTTGATTTGTTCTTCCTTCAATTTAAGCAGATTGACAAGTATTTTGTCAACGTTTTAAACACTTTTACATACTTTAGTGATATTTTTAATTATTCAAAAGCTTAACTACAACTAACTTAGTTGAAATAAAAAAAAATTCCTGTTATGTCAAGTAAGATCAATGAAAAACTTTCACAGTAATTAAATAATTAATTAAGTTGTCATCTTCATATCTTCAACATGATATGGTATGAATAAAATGTTTTTAAAATAAGGTCACATTGTTGCACATACTTGTGCAATAATTCCAAAAATGGTGCTGAAAATTTCAACTATTATCAATTTAAAACCATTTGTAAGCTCAACATGTTTTACCTAATAATGTAATCAATAAAGATTGATTTAATTATTTATTTAATTCAAGGTAATTTTGTTTGGAAAATGCTAGATTAAAACTAATGCTTTTTTAAAGCTATTTACCGGGAGAAATTTTTTTTAAAAATGTTCCATTAGATTTATGTATATAAAAAAGCTAATTTTTTACAACGTTTCTATTGTTCATAGTGGACTTATGGTTAAAACATGGTTCCCACCTTTATCACTAAAGTCAAGCATCACTGGTAACGGTCAGTGTGCGGGTTGGTGACCACTTTGATCAGCCTGCGAAGGGACCGAAGACGTGCAAAACGGGGGAGCCATCCCCTCCACAGAGGACTAAAATTATGATGACATGCCTTCGAATCATCATCAGCAATGTCAGCCAAACTGTCGCCAACAGCCCATTATGCAGCTCTATTGAGACGTATACTTCTATGTTCTTATTAAATCTCTTTATTGGGGGAGAATCCTTGTAATCAAAATGTAATTTAATTATTTTCATACCTCTATTAAATTTCTATGCCTGTTGACATCACAAACAATTACTTTATTCATTACAATCGTTACTTCATTATTTACTAAGAATCATTTCCTTTCTGATCGCTTACGAGCAGAATTATTCATCATTTACTGCAAATCAAAATTTATCGTGACTCAAAATTTGGACACATTTTGATAAGTACGAGCAATTAAGCTTGAGTGGCCCTCTTCGCTGAATGGAAATACAAGTTACAATCGTTTCCTTACTCCTATACGCATTTTGACCCTTGTACAGCAAGCCAAGGTACGCACATCTTAACTGCAACAATAAGCTGGGTGACAGCATAGGTTTCAATCAATTTCTGAGTACAGAAAACTGAGCTTATATCCAAACAGAATTCATCATTAATATACTTTTTCCCCATTTCTAACTAACTAATGTGCACAAATTTCAACTAGAGCTCCATGCTTGATTACAATAAATATTTAAAAAGATTTCCGTTGTTGCAAAAAAAATTTTTTAGCACAGCACGGAAAAAAATTATCCTAAATAATTTTTGATCTAATGATCTGATTCTTCACGTAAAAGGACTCGATCTTTATAGTTGGAAAGGGAGACCTCAAATGCGCAATTTAATCAGTGTGGAGAATATTTTAAGGTATGAGGCCTTTTTATTCGACGCATTCGGATTTCTAACCCACAAAATGCAAGAGGTAGCCGCAATCTGCGAAATATAGTCCCAATAGTTTAGTTTAGTTTAGTTTAGTTTAGTTTAGTTTAGTTTAGTTTAGTTTAGTTTAGTTTAGTTTAGTTTAGTTTAGTAGAGTTTAGTTTAGTTTAGTTTAGTTTAGTTTAGTTTAGTTTAGTTTAGCTAAGTTTAGCTTAGTTTAGTTCAGTTTAGTTTAGTTTTGTTGAACCCCTTAAAGCTAATTTTACCTTAGCTCGAGAATTTCTTAAGCTCATCAATAAAGTTTTGCACGCAATTATAAAATCTGTTAATCCAATGATAATTCCATACAGAATATAATTTTTAATTTATATAATAAAATATAAAAATATAAATTATATAAAAATGTAATATAGTATTTAATTAATTAATAATTTTTTTAGTGTTGAGAGGTTCAAAGTACAATACTATGTTGTATTTCAGACCAATATTACTTTTAATAAAAAGCTTTTTTTTTAAGTTATAAATTTTTTAGAAGATTTCCTCAAAGCATTTTGATAAAATTTTTCTGTACATTTTACATGGTATAACATTAAAAAACGATTTAGGGCAATATTTTCTTTTACAAAAAATAATTTCAAAAATGCATCCCGGATCCCTCATCGAGCTTAAATCTGTTAGGATGGCCAATTTTTTATTTAAATTTTTATTTATGTATTGCAAAAAAATTAATCAAAATTTAAATGTATGAAAGAATAACATGAACAATATTTTTTTAAATTTTCATTTAAAAACTTTTAAAATATAACGGTTGAAAACTGTTTTTTTGTAGGCCCCTGCTATATAGAGCCCCCGTGATGGATATGATTTCTTCACAAACTAATTCATCATTCTACTTCAAGTTCTCAACACTCTTTTAGATATAACTGACAAAAAAAAATTTTCGTTTTTAGCATACCTAAAAACAATTTTTTTTGCTAAAATTTATATTTTGCCTTATTAAAATTAAATGCTATCAAAGAAAATAATTATCCTTTTCTCAATGTTTAGTCATTTCTATATAAGAATAGTATGCATCTACAAGATTGGTATGAACCATTTTTGGGTAATCGTATTCACTGATTTCAAAAATGTTTTTGTGAAAACTCTATTTTTCTTCTTTTGATATGGAAATTCATGCCTACAAGAATTAGCTTCCAGAGTAATTTACTCTTATTTTCTCTCTGATCAAGAAATTGATTAAGAAAATAAATAATGAACCGTCACCTAACACTTATCAGCGATTTAATTAAAAACCTCCATTTTAAATGAACCATAGCAATACAAATCGTCTCCTACTGTTCTATTTAGTTAAAGGAATTGACATTAAAAAGGCAAAATTACTAAATAACTGGTCAAATTAATGATTGTTTT